ACGCGGTAACAACTTATGGCGCGCCTTTCCAGTCAATATTCAAACAACTTTAATATTTTTATTCATTTCCGCTATATCGCTCATGCTGGGCACGGATATCTATGCAAACAGCGCTTGGTTACTGTTCTAGTTTCCTAAGCTCTGAACTGAGTATTAACACCTCAAAATTAACATTGCTATGACTAAGCTTCTTTGCTATAGCGTCATTTTGGTGTCAATATCAGAGACTTTCGATTGCAGTGATTGTCATAGTGTATTTCACTGCTTGGCCTGCAGTTTTAATTGTGTGTTCTACGAAAGCGAAAACACTTAACGAACAAAAGATAAAAGTATACTGCATTTTGATCTAATAAACCGCCTTGCTATACTGGCGAAATAAATAAGTATAGAAATATTAATATAGAAGTAAAATAAAAAATAAAAATCGTATAGAAGTGTACTTACTATTATCATAAAGCAATATTTTAATTCGTTTGTACTATCCCGAGCTTCAAAGACAGAGACGACGTATTTTGCAGCAGACAGTTTTTAACCACGAAAACTGAACTAAAAATTGTAGATGTTGGGCTTTATTTCTAGCAGAAAAACTCACAGGGGTAGAACATGACTAATGTTCTGACATAGAATAGCAGCGTACAAGAAAGTCGATCCTTAGGGCAGGGAATCGCGTACAGAACTTACAACCAAAACAAGAACGATCTAGTAACGCGAAGATCTTAAAGTGTTGACAGATACTGTAACAGAATAATCAGGCCTCAAGCACGATTTTAATGCTTTGTCGCGCCCCATCTAGAGGCGGGTGAAAAGGTTTTCGGATCGACGGATTTGGCCTTAAAAAACGCACGGATTGTGGATTTTTGCGGTAACTCGAGCGGATTCGCGGAATTTGAAAACACAGTGGATCGTGGATTAGCTATGAATTTTGCCGCGGATTGCGAATTGTGCCTGTCTTGATGTTCGGATCTTGGGTCCTAAACGAAATTTGGATCATAGATCTTTCTTCCGCCTTGGTCAGTTTGTTAATGAGTTCATCCAAAGTATGTCTTTCTTCGAACGAAGTTCATTTAAACTCAGGTGTAAGACTGTTATTGGAATTGTACTGTGTTATATGGTCATCAAACATGTTGCCTTCTTTACGTACTATTTGTGCGAAATTAACAATGGCATTCACATTTAACAGTTTACCTTTGAACTTGTACACTTTTGTTTCCGGATGTGGTTGCGTTTCGGATTTAAACAAATATATCGGCGGATCGACGGATTTGGTGGAAAAAAGGCACGGATCGGCGGATATGCATACCCCTATTCCCCCTCCATCTACGATTATCATTTTGGTGCCCAGTCTTCTTGGTTCACTGTGTCGTGGTTCAGGTGCACTGTGTTGTGGTTCCCAAGTCTATATGGGGAGGTGAGCGCTCTCACCACTGCGCCATCCCCCTTACCTATTTAAATCAACCAAAATGTACCGATGTCAAGCTGAAGAAGCAGTTTGAAGCGTAGGTGTCAACACGCTCCGGGCAGTGGCCGGAGGTACTGCAACTTTGCAATTAAATTGACTCGAAGCAACACTCTACAGTGGCCCAGTAATAACGATCTCACTGAC